TAATCGGAGGATGGCGGCGACCGGCGGTGGTAATCGGAGGTTGGTCGACGATGGATTGAAGATGGAGTGGTCAAGGTATCGGCTGGGAAGTGTGGGATGTTTTGACGATGGAGGCACAAACAAAAGAAAGAGACGCGTTTTTTTTAGGTTAAAATCAATTCGCAAACCTTAGAAGAGGCTGACCCAAGTTTGTGTGGTGAAGACCTCGCGCAGACGTTTTTATGTCTGCGCACTTCAGAAAAACAAACGCACTGCAGACCTCTAGGTCTGCGCGTGGTCTGCGTCGCGCAGACAGAAGACACCACGCATATCTGCAAAGAAAAAACAAACGCCCCCTTAGTATATAAGAGTTTCCAGAGAGATTTGAACTTAAAAGACCGATTCTTTTTGTTATGCCTTTTTTTCAACAAAGGATAGGATCTTCCTTCTAACAACATGAGTTTTCAAAGAGATGTCAACGTGTACAGTTAAAAACATAAGATCACGACGAGAACAATATATGTGTCATGATGTTCCATCTAATTCGAGATAATAGATGAATTATCGATGCTATGTGAGATTTTTGCGACATACAATGCTCGATTTTATTTGAATTAGCAAAATTTTGTGACTCGGTTATATAACTTGTTTTACATAGATATTAATAACAAAAACATAAAGTGATTTATGAAATTTATTGTATAAGGAATGCCAACAACAAAGAAAGATGCATATATAATCACTCTATAAGATGTTTTTATTTGTAAAAAATTAAGACCTTTTATCATTTTGTATTTTATTTATTGAATATTTAAGAATTTTTGACTAATTAGTTAAATAATAGATAAAGTAATAAAAAAATGTGTTCTTGTGAGAAAAGAAATGGTGTCATGTGAAAAATAAGTAAGATAGTTCCTAAGGGATGAGTGTTTGGACCGAATATCCGAACCAGAACCCAACCCGAGCCAAACCGAACCAAATAAGATATCCGGTTCGGTCGCTCACTTATGTATTTTATGCTTATTCGGTTTTCGGGTATTTCGATCTAGGTTACCCAAATAACTGCTTAATCGGTTCTAAAGAAATCAAACCGAATTAGAATCGAAAAAACTATCTGGTTCGGTTCTCGGGTATATATTTTAGGCTTATTTATATTTTAGTTTGGGTGTTTAATGTTTAATGTTTAACTTATATACTTATATATGGATTTTTGTTATTATTTTTTTATAAATGAATTGATATGAGTTAGCATTTAGTTGTAGCATCATAGTATTTTAAAAAAATAAAATAAAAAATATATTATTTTAAAACTTGTGAAACCTAATGATAGAAATAGTTTAGTACATCCGAAAATATATCTTATTATATTTCTAATACCTTAAATAATTACAAAACATCCCCTAAGTTTAAAATAAAAAGTACCAAACAATACGATTTATTTTGTTCTTTTCAGCTTTATTCTGTTCTTTTCGGGTTCTATTCAGTCCTTAATCATATTAAAATGTTATTCGGTTTATTAATAACCGAACCGGCCCGATTAATACCTGAACCGACCCGGACCCGTATTGGTTTAATCGGTCTAGTTTTTGGTTTATTCGGGTATGATCCAGTTCGGTCCGGTTCCGGCCCAAATAACATATCTATTCCTAATTAGATTAAAAGAATGAGCTTATAAGTACTACCATTTAATTATTTATAACTAAAGGGTCGTTTGATAGTTGTTAACTGGGTTAGAGCTGACTGGGTTAGAAGCTGACTGAGTTAGAAGTTCTGACTAAGTTAACTTCTGACTGAAACTTGCTGCTTGATTTTGCATCTAACTGACTGTGAAAAATGACTATATTACCCTCAAACAATATTTTTTTTGTAATAATTCCCTTATAATTTACCATTCAACTTATAACATTACATTTTTTATAAAATCATTCAACCAACAGAACAACTGCTAATAGATTATCCCCATAATGGTTGGGTGTTTGGATTTTAGACCTGTGTCAACAATATATAATACATCGACAGTTGCAATCATAAATTCCAAAGAATGAGCTTCTAAAAGTAGATAATTTAATAACCAAACTCAATTTACTTTTATGTTCATGTCAAACAAAACATGAGGTGCATGAAAGACATTTTGATGATAATGAGTAATTCAATTCAAGTAATACAAAGGCTATTGGTTATTACGCATATCTTGAGTTTTAAACATGAATATATGCACATTTAAAACAAGATTGACACACTCTCGTCTATAACTTATGAAGAAACAACCTACAAATCTTGGTATTTCTCATGAAAATCACCTTTCATTGATTAAGATATATATATATATATATATATATATATATATATATATATATATATATATATATATATATATATATATATATATATATATATACACACACGATTACATCAAAAAAGGGCCAAATACAAAAGGGCCAAATAAGAATACAAACACAAGACTATAAATCATACACTAATAGCCCCCCGCAGTGAGAACGGGAGGAGAAGACCGTACGTTTAAGCTGGATCTCAAATCAAGAAATAAAGGTGAGGGGATACTCTTGGTAAAAATATCGGCATACTGAGACGAAGACGGAACATGAAGAACACGAACCTGGCCTGTGGCAACTTTGTCGCGAACAAAATGAAGATCAATCTCAATATGCTTAGTTCGTTGATGATGAACATGATTGGATGACATGTAAACGGCACTAACATTATCACAGTAAACAAGAGTAGCCCGGTGAGGAGAGTAATGAAGCTCTAACAGTAAATTACGAATCCAACAAGTCTCTGCAACTGTATTAGCGACTCCCCGATATTCGGCTTCAGCACTGGAGCGTGAAATAGTGTTTTGTCATTTCGAAGACCAGGACAAAAGATTGTGACCCAAGAAAACACAATAACCCGAGGTAGATCTCCTAGTAACTGGGCAACCTGCCCAGTCAGCATCCGAATACGCCACAAGATCACGATTAGGAGATGTAAATAGCTGAAGGCCATGATCGATGGATCCTTGAATATAACGCAAGATGCGTTTCAGAGCAGTAAAATGCGGTTCCCTGAGATCATGCATGTATAGACATATTTGCTGAACAACATATGTAATGTCAGGTCTGGTAAATGTAAGATACTGCAAAGCACCTACAAGACTACGATATAAAGTGGGGTCAGCAACAGGAGGCCCAGACTCATCAAATTTAGCAGACAAATCAGCCGGGGTTCGGGCAGGTTTGCAGTTAAGCATAGACGCACGTTCAAGAATCTCATTGGCATATTTTTGTTGAGACAGAAACAGACCATCGGATGTTCTTACAGCTGAAATACCAAGAAAATAATGAAGATCACCAAGGTCAGTCATAGAGAACTCCGTACCCAATAGTGATATGATGTGAGTCAGTAAGTGCGACGAGGAACCAGTAAGAACAATGTCAGCGACATAGAGAAGTAAATATGCCATGTGAGATCCTTGCCTGTAGATAAATAGAGAGGAGTCATACTTGCTATGAACAAAGCCAATACGTGAGATAAATGTGGCGAATCGTTGAAACCATGCCCTAGGTGCTTGCTTGAGACCATAAAGAGATTTCTGAAGGCGACATACATGATTAGGTCTTGAAGGATCTCGAAAACCTGGAGGCTGCTGCATATACACTGTTTCCTGTAAATAACCATGAAGAAAAGCATTCTTCACATCTAACTGTCTGATGGGCCAGTTGTGAGTGACAGCGATGCTAAGAACCGTGCGAATGGTGGCAGGTTTAACCACAGGACTAAATGTCTCATCACAATCAATGACGGGTCGCTGACTCCTACCATTAGCAACCAAACGAGCTTTATATCGCGATAAGGAGCCATCTGCATTAAGTTTCTTTTTGAACAACCAAATACAATTTATAATATTAGCAGCAGGTGGTCTTGGCACAAGTATCCAAGTATTGTTAGAGATAAGAGCATTATATTCATCTGTCATCGCATTTAGCCAGTTAGGATCTTTAAATGCCTGAGAATAATTTTTAGGGACAGGAGATTCAGAGGCCACATGAAGATTAAGTTTCTGAATAGGTTTAAAGATGCCTTGTTTGGCGCGAGTGCGCATGGGATGTTGAGATGGAGGATGAGCAAGATGTGAAGGAGGTCCCTCAACAGGATCTGATGTGACATCATGAGAAGGAGAAGAAACCTGCGGAGAGTTTGGAGGACCCGAAGGAGTTGGAGTGCCGAGGGAGGAGGTATCCCCAGGAGAGGAATCAGAGGAAGAGGGAGTCTCGAGAGGAGAGTCGCCGTCATAGTGAATAGTAGTATTTTGTGAGAGTGGAGTATAAGGAGTAGGTGGAGGAACATGATCAAGAAATGAGTAGGAAGGAGAAGTGTTTGGAGTCATGGATCCGAAAGGGAAAACAGTTTCATCAAATACAACATGACGAGATATGATTATTTGATTTGTGTCAAGGTTGAGACCACGATAACCTTTGTGATTAGTAGGATAACCCAGAAAAATGCAGGGTGTTGATCGCGGAGAAAGTTTATCGGAAGCCTCGATATGAGGAAAGCAAAGGCACCCAAAAACACGAAGGTGATTGTAAGAGGGTTGTTTTTGAAAGAGTTTGTGAAATGGAGTGTCATTTTTTAGAGTGGTTGTAGGTAAAATGTTAAGCAAATGGGCATCCATATGAAGAGCTTCAACCCAGTAGGTAGGAGGAATACGAGCATTGAAGAGAAGGGTACGTATGACATTGTTAATGGAACGAAGCATGCGTTCAGATTTACCATTTTGTTGAGATGTATAAGGACATGAGAAACGCATGTGGATGCCATGTTGATCACATAATTGATGAAATTTATGATTTTCATATTCACCACCGTTGTCACATTGAATAGCTTTGATTTCGGTTTTAAATTGGTTGTTGACAAATGAACGAAAAAGAGCAAATTTATCAAAGACATCAGACTTCGCACGTAAAGGATAAACCCACACATAATGAGAAAAATCATCCAAAAATATGACATAATATTTAATGCCACTAGTACTTTCAATAGGAGATGTCCACACATCATAATGCACAAGTTCAAAGGGAGACAAAGAAGTGAAGAAGATAAGCTAAAAGGCAATTTAACATGTTTGCCTAATTGACATGCATGACATAAACTATAGTGTTTATTGGAAGAACAAGAAATAGATTTATTGTGAACTAAGTGTTTAAAGACATGATAACCGGGTGACCAAGACGTTGATGCCACAGAGACGGAGAAACGGAAAGTAGAGCTTGAGTTGTTGGAGTAGTGACAGGGTAAAGATCACTATTGCTTTCACATCGCATGAGAGTTTGTTTGGTTTGAAGATCCTTCACAGAAAAACCAAAGGGGTCAAATTCAATAGAACAATTATTTTCACGAACAAAACGATGAACAGATATAAGATTTTTAATAATTGATGGTGTGATCAAAACATTTTTAAGATGTAAGGTGCGAAACATATTATTGTGCGGAAGAGTGGAATGTCCCATTTTAGTCACAGGTATAGAAGATCCGTCTCCTACTAAAATAGATGAAGAAAATAAATGATTATCTGAAACAGACTTGAGAATACCTGCGTTGGCGTGAACGTGCGATGTAGCCCCGGAGACTTGAGAATACCTGCGTTGGCGTGAACGTGCGATGTAGCCCCGGTGTCCATATGCCAGCCATCTTGACCTGGATCGTTTAATGACATAGTATTAAACATTTGTGGAAGAGAAGTGGGCTCCGGATTTGTTGAATATGAGTTGTTGGGCCACAAAAAAGGTTGAGAAGAGTGACTGGTCTGATAAGCTTGTTGTGGACCAAAAAATAAATGTTGTTGGGCTGTGTTCGGCTGGACCCAAGGCTGTCTCGGTCCAAAATGATTGTTATGAGGAGCTGGATTAGGGGTTGGAGGAAGCCCAAGAGAATTTGGTCCACCATTTAAAGATTTAACTCCACCATTATTGTTGACCTGATGCCATCCGTAGACCCAATTCCCTGAAGCGTTCCCCACACCTCGTTGCTGATACGATCCGTTCAAAGGAGGTTCACTGCCGCCATTGAAGTTTCGACCACCATGTCTTCCGCCTCGACCACCTCTGTACCGACTGGCGTGCGTCCCCCACGACGACCACCTCGAGATGGCGGCTGATTTGTCGATTCGGTGGCAAGGGCATGAGGTGATGAGGCGGTATCGGAGTGGGTAAGAGAAGATCGATGGCTGTCTTCTTGAATAAGTTGTTGTTCCTCCTGGATGAGCATAGACCTGACGTCCCAAAACGAGGGTAGAGGGTCCCGATGACGGATTGTAGTTGCAAAGACTCGAAATTTTGGAGACAACCCATTTAAGGTGTAAGCAACAAGGTTAGGTTCAGGAACTTTTGCATCCATGTTATTGAGGAGATCAGCAAGGTTTTTGATACGATTACAATATTCTGTGACAGAAGAAGTTCCAATGGTAATATTTCTCAGTTCATTATCCAGTTGAATTACCTTATTTGCTTTGTTGGTTCGAAAAACTTTTTCAAGTTTCAGCCAAACATCATATGCCGTTGTCTGTTTCTCAAAAATCAGATGAAGAAGAGAGATTTCAAGGGTGCCATACATCCAAGACTTCACGATGGCATCTAACCGGGTCCATTCATCGCTGTTTTCTGCAGAAATCTTTTCTTTTGGGGGTTCAAGATGATCTTTGACTCCGTATCCAATGCAATGGATCTCAAAAAAGTTCACGCCAGATATCGTAATTTATACGATCCAAATCAAGTATCAAGGGAACAGCATGTTTGATGTTTATCGTAGAAGAAGGTTTATCAGAAAGTGTAGAAGATGATGCAGAAGAAGAGGATCCAGTCATTGTGAAAATCAATGAAAGGTGAAGAAATAGAACAGAATAGAAGAAGAATCAAAGGAGGCAGTCGACAGAACAAGGGCGACGCCTAGGTTTAGAGAGATTTCAGGAAAGTTTGATACGCTCTGATACCATGAAATCTTGGTATTTCTCATGAAAATCACCTTTCATTGATTGAGATATATATATACACGATTACATCAAAAATGGGCCAAATACAAAAGGGCCAAATAAGAATACAAACACAAGACTATAAATCATACACTAATAGAAACAACCTACAATATAATAAGAGATTAACATCTCTCAAAGGCCAAACTAAACCCTAAGCAAAATTACACAATTGTCCATCCATTTAGACAAAAGTTACATGAAAAAACCCCTTTGATCTTGAATACATCACATAATTTCCTCTAACTAACCAGTTGTTGCATTTAGATCCAAGTCTTTATGCGTAAATTAGTTTGCGGTGAACAGATTTGTGGAAGTTCCCAAGAGGCATCAGACACCTGATGAGACAAAAGTGTTGACTGTATGTTTTGCAACATCACATTTTCTGCATAGTAAAGTCCTATCTTCGAAATAAAAGAAGTAGTCAACTGTTTCTTGTACATAAATATCATCTGTTGTGAAAATCTGTATACCTCGAGTTACCTAACAATAGTTGAATTATACTAACCGGTGTAAATTCATGGATATCTGTATAGAATTTCATTAGAAAAATTGAAATTACAAAGCCTATACATAACCTTATCTACAACAAACAACCCAACAATAACAAAGAAGGATTTTACCTTACATTTTTTTAGTTTAATTCATAAAATAGACAAATACTAAGGTAAGAATGGTGAATTTTTTAACATAAGATCACTAAATCTGCCTTAAACATTTCGAAATTTGCATTAATAGATCAAAAGTGCCAAAACGAGCTACAAAGTAAAATTAATGAAACTCCACAACTATCTAATTTCAGCAAATTAATGAAACTCTAGCTTAAATTCGACCATTAGATGCAAACGAGGTCCACTTCAGTTCTTAGAATTGCAATAACAAAAGGCATAAGATCATACCGTTGATTCCTAGGTTAATTAATCAATTGTTTGAGCTTCAATCCACTTTAGTACTCACGATCTCCCTCTGTTGCTTGATAGCTCCTTCCCTCTGAAAATTTCGATCAAAGTTCTCCCTCTATTGCAACCTTCAGGATAGGCGGAGGACAACGGGAGGAATCTGCATCAGGAGAGGCGGAGGTCGGCGACGCTACTTGCGGCGGCGGCGGCGAAAGTGTCCGGTGGGAAGGACGTTTTGAAGGAGGAAGAGTCATTTGATGGGCTCTGTGAAGGCGTTGGAAGGAGTAGATATGTTTTTTTACTGGGGCACGAATGTCTTTCTTCCATCACATACTCGGTCAGCTGCTATTTTCTCTAGGACCGAGTCAGGAAGTAATGACGAGATCATAAACATATTTAGATCATCTCCAACCTACTTCTATTTTTTCCCCCAAAAATGGAATAAAAAATAGGGTAAATAGTGTTTCATCTCCAACCTTATTCCATTATTACCCCATTTTTACTCATAAAAAGTATATTCCATTCTTCTAACTTATATAAATTATCAAATACACCCCTTCTATTAATTTGGTTTTAACAAATATATAATCTATATTTTTTTTCATTACAATAATATTAAATAAAAATGATCATATAATACGTAATTATAAGCTTTTGTAAATTACGTTATCGTGTTCTAAAATTTCAATATGTATTTAAATTTTAATATGAATTTGATAAACAATATATATATATATATATATATATATATATATATATATATATATATATATATATATATATATAGGTTCAAATGTTTTCTACAACTATTGTATTGTATGCATGTATGGACCAATGAGAATTTAACAATAATTTAATCATTAGTTAAATTAACAAGGGTAAATTAGTAATATTACATATATCTATTAATTAATATCCAAATTTAACCATTGATATCCCTTTTTTGGGGGAATCAGTTTTTTTTACGTATTAAAACCCTAGACATCGACGCCTCAAAGGAAATCGACATTTCTTCCTCACACAACAACCGATTCTTGACGCAAACCTCTCTTCCTCACACAATAGCCGATTATTTTTGATCTATCTCCACCATTGGCCGCCTTCCAAATCATCTCTGCTACTGCTGATTCAAAGGCCTCCAATTTGTTGCTCGATCCAAAGACCTTCAATTTGTTAGTTATGCGTTAGAAACAAAAGAAAATCTTGTAGTTACAAGGTAATTTTTCAAAAATTCTTGTTTTATCAAAATTAATCTCTTATAGAATATTTCTATCTGTAAATTTCAATTTTTTTTAAAGCCACATCCTCTGTTCTTTGATTGTCGGCACTCGATTTCACAAAAATCAATTTCTCTAATGTGCTTTAGGTAATACAAATTAGTCTTGTTCTTGAAATAAATAAATTATATTATATATTACGATTTGTTTATGAACATGCGTAAATAAGTTTGAAAAATATTTTAAAATTGTTTTTGTCTCCACTATCTTTAAAAGTAATGCTAGACGATCAAATAGTTAAATTTTTTGCTAATCTCTTTTATAATTGGATTTTTGTAATTGCTACTTTTTTTTGTAATTTATTCATTATTAGTAAGATTAAAAATGTATATTTTGTATTTTCCTCTTTAAAATGTTTCTGTTTGCATGCATATTGGTTTTTAACATTTTTTTTTGATGATTTCTTTGTCTATTTATAAGGATCATGGTCTTTGTTGATACATACCTAGCACGCATATTATTATTCTAACTTCATTAATTGTTTTAGATGGATTTTGGCTTGTTTGATGAAAATGCATAACAAATGTTTGTTGAAATGCTTGAAAGAGAATCTAAAGAATTTCACCTTGTTGTATGCATTCTGTCAGAATTACTAGCAACACATGTTTTATGTAATTGTTTAAAAAGGTAATTAATTTGTCTATGTATTATTTTTGTTCAATTTGTGATTTTGAATTCCAATTTCTATTGTCCCTCGTTATTGTATATTTGGAATCTAAAATTATATTAGCAGTAAATACAATGTATTCTATGTATTCTGTCAGAATGTATTCTGCTAGAATAGAATATATGTATTCTGCTAGAATGTATTCTATGTATTCTGTCATATTCTATGTATTCTACTAGAATATATAAAGTGATAGTTAATTGCAAGTAACATGTTTTTAACCATTATTAGTTTTTGTTGTATTTGTGATAGGAATGGCTAGAAGAATGCATTGAAGACCTAATATGAATAACTTGAAAAATGAATAAAGTTTGATCATACTCACAATTTAAGAATGTTGTTATTTTTAAGAATTTTATTCATTTTTGTTGATATTCTTTTAGAATATGTATAATTATATTAAAATGTATAAGGCTTTTAGTCTGTAAGAATATGTATGAATTTGTATTTAAATTCGGATGTATAAGAATATATTAGAATGTTGTTATTTTTCAACCTCGGATTCAAACTTTTTGTTATTCTTCAATAATATTTTAATAGACTAAAATCTGAAAGAACAACATTCTAACAAAAAAAATATTCTGACAAATAAAATTGGTTATGTTTATAAATTACGTTAGAATTAAAACTGAATTAATTAAAAAAATTCAGATTTTTAAAATCAGTAGAATTAATTATCCCTAAAAATCCGAAAATTTCATTTTATAAATGTAGTTAATTGTCCAAAATACCCTTTTGCTAAAATTTGTGTGATTATATGGTACATGTTATCCCCTTGTAATATCATACACTCTCAAATAATGTTCATTGATTAATTTCATCCGTTGGTCCAGATCTGTGCATTCTGACACACAATAGTTAGTAAAAACAAAATAACCTAAGCCTATATATATATATATATATATATATATATATATATATATATATAATTAATATAATTTAATATATAACACAATATTATAAGTATTAAATATTACATTTAAATAATAATTAGTAGAATAAAAAACCAGAAATATATAAATATATAAAACGAGGGACTAAAACCGACAACTCAAAGTTCATCCCCATTTGGGGGAAATGAATAGTATAACACCATATCTGGTGTTATGCTATTCATTTCCCCCAAAATGGGGGAATAAATGAGGTAGGGTTGGAGAGGAATGAGGGAATAAATGAGGGAAATAATGGAGAATGAGAGTAGGTTGGAGATGCTCTTAGCATGTATCAAACACGCTGGCCGGACCGAGTCAGCCAAAAGGTACTGACCGGACCCGGTCAGCACAAAAATAAACAATATCAATATATTATTAAATTATAAAACTAACATAAGTTAGCCAAATTATGAAATTACAGCACAACTCCACAAGTCACAACATGAAAATTGAAAAGTATTAAATGACCAAAAGTTTTTGGTTGCAGATTTATTTGGGCTTCGTATGTGGACTGCTAAGTCTCAAGATTGGTTGAATATTAAATAGGATGGATTGGACCTTTGGTTTCGGGTTTCAAAGAAATCCCGATTTTAAGAAACTAAATCGGATAAATTGACCCGATAGGTTTAAACCGGATATGAATACTATAATTGAGTTGGATTTGAGACTGGATTAAATAAAATGTTGGAACCAGTTAAACTCGTTGATTTCAGATGGTTACACCTTTTTGGACTGAAACTGGTTAAAAATATCCGATTATAAGCAACCGGTTTGAACATAGTCCAAAAGGTAGTTTGGTTAAAACTTATGTGGATCACTTACAAAACCGACTATATGCACCTGTACAAAGCATATCTATCTGAAAATCTAAAAGTGTCTAGAATTATACGTCATAACCTATATTCACCTCTAATCCATCATCTAACACCCCTATAAACCCATGTAGGGCAAGGTGAAAAGTAGATGGACACAACAAAAAATGGTTATCTGTTTTGGATCAAACCAGTTTGGTTGAAGACTAACTTATTGAAATTTTTGGGTTAAACCGGTTTGGTTGAAAATCAGTTTACTGAAAAATGTTTGGTATAATCGAACACATTATGATTTTACTAGTTCATGTTCTAGATTTTGGACTCCTAATTAGGACAGGACAATTGAAACCGATTACAAACTAGTCTGGTGATTGGAAGCTGGTAAAAATCTATTCACACTATTTTGGTGGAAATTTGATTAAAAACCGATTGATCCCTTGTTATGTGGAATTATATTTCTAGAGTGTTAAACTAATCACGCAAGAAACAATTTATATACATTGTATACCTTGAAAGCCTAAAGTGTATATATAATTAGTGATACATTTTTAAGAATACAAATAATTGGTTGTTTATTTTCAACTTTATACATAAAAGTTATAATACACCAATTTCAGATTGTCTGAAACAAATATATACCAATTCAATCTTCAATTACTTTTGCTTACACATATTTATATTTTGTGATGTTATTAATTTTGTAATCATCCAAGTTTTAAAGTTAAGAATAATTAGTCAATTTGCATTCAATCTTCAAATTTAGTCTTTTTTTTTTCTATAACTATGTATATGTTTTTTAAAAATCGTATATAAAACTATATTAATAAACCAAAATGAATTGTCATTAATGCCAGAATAGTGTTACTAGTTACCATCAAAATTCAAACATAAAATAAAATAGCTACGTTAAAGAAAACCACATAATAGCTTAAGAAAATATATTAGTGTTTCTAGTTGTTTTAAAATAAAGGCTATATACATAAGAAAGCCTATTATATTTTTGTTATTTTTATAGTTTAACTATTGCATTTAAGTTATGATGATAAAAATAAGTTTGATAATATTTTTATATTGACTTTTTAACTTGTTATAAAATCTAAAATTGTCACAATAAATAATTTTATCAAAATCTAACTGTTTCAATGGAATATTTAATGTCAATGGTTAATATAAAAAAAATCGCTAAACAAATGAAGTTTAACAAAATGTTTTGTTATGACTCATTTAACCTAATATAACAGGTCAAAATAACGAGCATAAAAAATATATAAAATATAGTAGTTATTTTATAAGATAACTAAAATATAATAGTTTTTTAATGTTTTTATACAATTTGTCATTTAAAAATATATGATGGATTATATATTACGAAAAAGACATGAAATCCGACGTGGACTAGTGGGCTATATTAACAGGGTGGACCAGTGCGACACGTGGATGCAAGCTGTCTGATGTATTTGACCGAGTGAAACCATGCCGGAGCGAGAAGGTCTTATCCTTCACCATTCACAAATGGTGACGTGTATAAAAGCAGACCAATTTTGAATATTGGATTTCATTTGACTT